ATTCACGGTATTTAGAAGTGCCCACGATAACAATATTGTGCATATTCATTACCGTGATATATCGCATTACCGAATAGTAAGTTTTAAGTCTACTTAAATTACACTTAATGAAGTTTTATAATAAAAGTTACAATTACATAATATTTCTATTTCAATTCGTTTTTTTATATAAACATTTAAATGGTGGCTGTCATAAAAACTTGATGGATTTATTCAAACATAAATTAAACATTGAAGAACAGTAAAATTTATAATGAATGTTATATGGTGCATATATTTAATCTGATTAATGAGTTTATGGTCACGAATATGTTTTTCTGAGGTATTGTTTACAAGCCGTTATATTGACGTCTTTGCGCGGCTGAAACACTGATTGAGTGATTACATGAGGCAGGATATGGATTGTAAAGTTGTACCCTTACTTTTAACTTACCTTCGGATGCTTAGTCATGCTTATTTTGTGCTGAAACTGGTATTAATGTGGAGGAGATGATCCGTTCACGTACGCCTTGCGCTGTCGCATCTGTTGATTGAGGCGCTACAGTGATCTGTCACTCCACATTAAATGGCGCCAAAACGGCATTTATTGTTTGAATGCTGCAATACAATGGACAGAATTTGAAATTAAAACTAAAACTTTTTCATATTAAAAATACCAAAGCACAATGCTTATTGCGATTTATTGGATGGGAGGTGCCCTTCAATGTTGCGTCCATTAACTGAAAACAGGATAGAATAATCGATTCTTGGGATTTAAGAATCGATATTGTTCCGTAAAAATGAGAATCGATTAAAACAGAGATCTATATTTTTTTTACCCAGCCCTATTTTCTAGTATCAGATATTTTGAAAGTGTACGATTCCTGCATTTCTTGCTTAACCAGTTGACTTAGCATTTGAGACTAAAGTTATTTTCTTTTGCTTAGGGCAAAAACAAATTGTGGATTCCAGTGTTGACCTAAGTGAAGATTGAAAAATACTTTGAGGATTTCTTTTAAACACAAAATAGTCACTGTACTGATCGATAACGTTCCGTCCATTAACTGAAAACAGGCTAGACTAATCAATTCTAGGGATTTAAAGTCACCATGAAATCAAAATAGAAAATTCTTTTTTTTTAATGGAATACTGTAGTGTTTATTATCAATAATTTATCCGTGCACTTCATTATTTTTTTAAAACTCATGTGCCCTTGTAATCTTTAATCAAAAACGTTAACCTCCCCTCCCCCTCAAAACGACTCATCTTCTCGGGATAAACGACGGGGAAAAGCTGAAGCTGATGCTTCACTTTATAGCACTGACGCCAGTCATGACGGAGTACGTTACTTCTAAACATTGAAAAGATATTAGGATATTACGACAACATTACTCTTAGGACATCGCAAACTAATTTTTTTCACGAATATGAGAGACTGGCATTCAGATCTGCCTCCATTTTATTAGCAACGCCCCAGCTTCCAACGATCCAATCAATTCCCGAAGGACGAAATCAAGTCCCGCCCTCTTATTTCAGATGCCGTTTCACTCGGATATACGTCACAGTAGAGAAAAGACAATCGCAACTTCCGTTTCATGCCGACTTTAAGAATCGATATCGATATCTATATTTTTTACCCAGCCCTAGTAAACTATAATAGCTGTAATAAGCTATTGTTGTTGTTGTTGTTGTTACATAAATATACAAATGAACCATTTTAATGAGAATAATAATATTTTTAATTAATATGATTAATGTGATAAATATAATTATTAATAATGACATTTAGTAGTACTAGTAATAATAAAATAGTTAAAAATAATATAATGATGATGATATAATAGCTATAATAAACTAATGTTATTTTTACATAAATATACAAATAAACAATAGTAATTATAATTAATTATGATAATGAACTGTAATAGCAAAAATATTAATACATTATCATAAAAATGCAATACATAAAAACATTATCTTAGCTGAAAGACTAAAACAGAGATGTAACACTTGCTAATTTGCTTCTCTGTTCTCAAGAAAGATTTTAAGAAAACAGAAAGAAAAAAAAACGAGCGTACAAAAACTTAATATACTCAAAAACTAGATATTTATTAATCGAAAAACATTGGTTGCTCCTAACCCTGAAAACACAATAATATATATATATATATATATAAGTGGACCTTGTACTATTCTGTGGTTTAAGATATAACCACATAATTTCCTAAACAACAACACATTTTTAAACCTAGAAATTTCACCTTCAAAGACTATTAAAACTGATCACATGGACTAAACCTCACTGAACCTGAAAACAGGAACCTGAGAAGTTGAATGACATTGTGAAGGAGGTTAATTTCAGCATTATCATGGTACAAAGGGCTTTAATGAAAGCAGACGACTTCTCTATGCCCTACACACTCTCCTGTCACTAGCAGACCACCTTCAGACACTCAACACAGTCCTTCAGTGTGTGTGTGTGTGTGTGTGTGTGTGTGTGCGCTTTGAGCCTTTGACCTCTCAGACTGACTCCTGTGGCTGTCTCTCCTGCTGTAGGATCTGGTGTCCTTGTTCAACTTCCACAACTACGACAACCTGAGGCACTTCGCCAAGAAGCACGATCCTCGCAGAGAGGGAGGGGAGCAGCGGGTGAGTGCCCGCTTCCATTTGCCCTTCCCACGTGCCCCATCGATGCGTTAACCACGTCTTGTATGAATGACTGCACGTAATAATTTATTCAAGACTCTGAAGCTTAGAAAATACAGCAGAGGAAGCTTATTTCCACTAAACGCCTGCAGTCAGCCATATACAATCACGCCCCCTGCTGGAGGATTTTTACACTACATGCATAGATAGGTAGCTGCTTCACGTCCCAAAGAGTGTAGCTGATTTTTGATGTTAAAACAGCGAGTAAAGAGCAGCGGTTGATTCATCATCAAAGTTCTCAGCTGTGCATGAGATTCTAATTATGCATGTCGATTGCCATATCTTGCTTTGCCATGTTTTACGCTGTTTTATCCCAAGTTTTTGTTTTGCTTGCTTCAGTCTGCATTTTTAGATTTGTAATCAGAAGGCCCAGATGGAATCTGTAAACTTTTCCCACATTTCAAATAATCTGTGCAGTGGATGTAAACATGGTAAAAAAAGTGCATACTCTTATCTAAAGCTGGAAAAATAAACAGATTAGCTTAAATATTTAAATCTGAATACAGGCCCAAAAAAAAATAGCAAAAAAGATTTGTTATAAAATATAGTATCATTGGCACAAGAAAACTGCAGTGATATATTATGGGGTCCGTGGTGATGCTTTTTGAATCAATTTATGTGACTTGTGTAAACACAATGAGGTTTTTTTTAACTGAGAATAATAATAATACAATTATTAATAAGCAAAGTTGTTGTTGCAAAGTAATATAATTTATTTAATATATATTAATAGATAAGTAGTTTTATATAATCTGTATTTTTATATTATTATCTTATAGGGATGCTAGGGATGCTCAGACCAATATCGGAATCGGCCTATAATGGCTTTAAATGTAAATATCGCATTATATCAGCAAAAATCCAATATCGTGCATCCCTATTATCTTATTCATTATTGTATATTACAATATAATCTAAAATATTTTATATTATTATTATTGTTATTATATGATGCATGTGCAGTTTTTATAAGCCATATTTTTTCTTTGTTTTTTTTTTTAATAGGAGGGCTCTCTTTGTGATACTTTCTTTAGAGACCCCCAAAACTAATCTGTTCTCTGTGTTGCTCAACACAGCAGTACACCTTCGGACCCCAGGATAACGAGAGCCTTTCAAATGAGCTATCTCTCAAAGACACTGTGTGGACAAAAGTCTGGCCTACTGAGCACAATGAGGACAGCTTCATTACATTCACTACATGCTTTATGCAGTTTATCTGGAAGAGATTTTCTCTGTTTTGATTTCTTCAGTCTGCATACGTAGATTTATAATAAACAGGCCCAGATGGTATCTGTATACTTTTCCGCATTTCCAAAAATCTGTGGAATGAATTTAAACATGGTAAAATGAGTTCAACTTTGCTGAAAATACTCTTATGTATATCTGAAAAAATAAACCGATTTTAATATTTAAACCTTAAAACCTGATTTAAAAAAAAATAATACAAACCTTGGGCATGAGAAGATTGAGATTGGGCAACTGAGACAGTTTTCCTGTTGAAAAGTATAAGTTGCAAGTTAAAATAAGTGGAAAAAGAAATTAAAAGGCTTTTTACAAATCCAAAATATCGTTCTTCTTTTTTTCAAGGGGTAACATTATCAATTGGCTCAATAATAATAGTAACAATAATAATAGTAAATATTAATTATTGCAAATAAATATAATTTATATGCTGTTATTTATATTCACTATATTATTCAATCAAAAATATTATTTTTTAATTATTATTATTATTATTATTATTATTATTATTATTAACCTGCATGCACAGATTCCGTGTGGGCCTGGTCATCTGTTAATAATGAGCATGAGTTTAAATGAGGCATGTGCAATTTCTGTGATAATACAGACCTCTTATGGGCTTTTTTGTTTTAAAATGTTGAAAAACATGACATTTTCCCAGCTGTGTGAATACGAGGCCTCTCTTTGTGACTGTGTTTGTTTTTGTTGACTTGAAATCTGTTCACACGTCACCATATTGAACAGTGTGAGTCACACACTTTCCCTGGAGGCCCCAAAAAAACTAATGTTCTCCGTGTTGCTCAACACAGCAGTACACCTTGGGACCCCTGGATTACGAGAGCCTTCAGAAAGAGCTGGCTCTCAAAGACACTGTGTGGACAAAAGTCTCGCCCACTGAGTGCAATGAGGACAGCTCCACTACTGTAGTCTATAGGATGGAGAATGTCGGAGAAGGCAACTAAAACGGATCTGACTCACCTCGGCGAGCTCTTTGACAGTATATATTTATGTACTTTAACAGTTATTTATTTTCAATGAATCTCATTCTGCGCACATGTTAGTTCTTCACCAGTCTCGGTGAATATGAATGACTATTGTAGAGGATATGTCTAAAGCCTTATTACTTGGCTTGTGTTTATCTATCTGTGCTAATGCTTAAAAGCATAGCGGAGGGCTTTATTCTTCACTTGTACTGCATGGACGTTAGGTGCGGTGGGATTTATAGTCACAGGTGTTTTTTCGGTGGATGTTGAGGATTGGCTGCTGAACAGAGACTACAGGTGGTTCTGTGTTGCACTACGATTGAATGTTGTGGTCATGCATAATGAACCGCATCTCACCACACGCAGAGTCTTCAGTAAGGTGTCATGAGCATATGGGCGTCCTCTGAAACTTTTTGTTACAGGTGACTTAGGCCGGTAAGTGTGACCTTCATTTGAAAAGAAAAAATGAAAATTCTGTCATTATTTATTCACCCTCATGTTGGTTTAGCCCTGTATGTTGCTGGTGTTTCTGTGGAACACACAGAAAATGTTCATGCAAATTTTTTTTTACCATATTCCATATAAAATAAATAACCATAAAAATTGTCCATCTGACTATATTTTAAAGTCTTCTGAAGCCATATACTAGCTTTTTGTTGGAGAAAATACAAATTTGTGTTCACAAAAAATCTTTTTAATTTCCTTTGAATAATTATCAGTCACTATTATTTATCATTGAATAATAGTGATTTCTGTCTGTTCCTAACACAAAGCTGTTACACAGTTTACCAGACTATAAAAGCAATAGTACACCCAAAAATGAAAATTTGGTCATTATTTACTCGTTCTGACCCCATATGATGATGTTGTTGTTTCTGTGGAACACAATAATTTTCATTCAACCTTTTTGCATATTCCAGAAAACAATCTCTATGAAATGACCATAAAAGTTGTCCATCTGATTATAATTAAAGTCTTCTGAAGCCATATACTTGCTTTTATAAGGTAAAAGATGAAAATTTAAAGCTGCAGTACATAACTTTTGGCGCTCTAGCGGTTAATAAACAGAACTGCGTGTGTCTTGCGGAAGAACATTGTAGCCGGAGCTACTTCTCTCTGTTTATGTCTATGAGGAATTACGCCGGTACTGGGCTACTCCGCAGCGGTACCTTCCCGAACCAGTCTAAAATAATCCGCATATAAACACTTATTATAGGTGTACCGTAGTGATTCAGGACAAGCCAAAAATGGATTCATGGTGTACTCGATTATTATATACATTTTGTACATTTTGAACACAAAAAAGTTACGGACTGCAGCTTAAAGTTACTGAAAATGGCATTTGGTGCAAATTTGGAATCTGAGTTCGAATGCATTATCATTGAATTACATCTACAATTCAGTCTGTTCCTAGCATAAAGCTATTATATGACTTAAAAAAAAAAACTGGACCATTTGTATAAGTGATGTGTGACATGCAGCCAACTATGGTAACCCATACCCCATTTGTGCTCTGCATATGACATACAACATAAAGGTGAAGTAGTTATTTCCATTTTGGCTGAACTACTCCCTTGCTACTGCTCCCTTAGGACACAGTGTGATTTCATTGCGACCAAGTGTAAGGTTAAAAGGGACCTCATGTTGCAAATGGGGTATTCATTTTTAGATTAGTCCGGATGCGTTCCTGCTGAATTGCTTGTCTTGGTGACTGCGTGTCCTGAGAGGACTATTGTAATGTGCAGTGTTTGCATCATAGAGCCGCACTAGTACTGCTCAGCAGCCAGTTAAAGTCTGCTGTCAGACCGTCTTTGCAGTGAAATCAATAATGTTACAAACCTTCCACTCTTCCGCCTGCCCTTAGTTCCATTTCTGTCTGTATATTCTCATATATTATTGCTAGAAACATTTATGCACCTTATTGATAGTTCAAAATGTTGGTTTATATCAAACTAAGCTTCGATAAGCTTCTGAAATGGTTTTATTGGTGAAAAGATGCTGCCCTTATCAGGAATATATTAAGTATTTTCTGTTTTTTGTTTTATATGTGTTGCAAAAACAAATTTATTTTATTTTTTGAATCTTTTAAATATAAATGTTCATTTTATTTTTGCATGATTTGCTTTGCTTTCACAGGCTTGTTTATTTCTGGGTTTTGTTGCTTAGTTTCACAAGTTTTGTGTTTGTGTATTTGTATTATAATTTTCATGTCTCGTTTTTGTGCTGCTTTAGTGGAGAAGTGTTTCTCATGCTCACTGACAGCTTTAACAGTCAAAATATGAGTTCATTACAGTCTGGCTTGAGGAAGCAGCTCGCTCTGATTACTTGAACAGCTGTCAAATGCTTCATCACTATATATTATCATCTGATTTTACACTGTCACAACAGTTCTGTTTATTTTCTCTTGTTTTCTCATTGTGTATTTATGTCATTTGTTCTGGTTTTCTTTTTTGTATCATTAATAAATTTATTTAATCTCATTGTTACCTGAAATCAGTTGTGTTCCATTTGTTGCTGTTTTGTGTGTTTTGGACAATCATTTTACTGGTTTGTGTTCTGAAACTTTCTCAAAAAATCATTCTTGATTGCTGGAATGACAGCTTTACTTCAAAAGTCCCGTTTGACTATGGCTTGCATGAAAACCACAAAAAAACAATAACATAAAATATTTAAATAAAAGGATTAATGTTCAAGGAAAACATGAAAGTTGCAGGGAATAATTTTTTTCCCATGCTTGAGAAGTCATAGAAATTGATCAATTCTTTTACATTTTATGATACACTTAGTATGAAGTATCATTTATATATAAAATGATTATATATTATTTATAGAAGATTTTTTTATTGTATTTATACAAAACATTTTTCACTTAGAAGTTGCTTTTTGTGAGCATTTTTTAAATCTTCATCCAGTAATGGTGCATGATTGGAAAAGTCATGTAAATTAATTTGTTTAGCAGAAGGTGTGGGAACTTTTTCTGGATCTGCCATCCATTGTAGCTCTGCTGCCTTGCCTTCTGTTGCACTTCATGGTAAGCTAAGTGTTTAGTCTGTCTGTGCAAATCACAGTTCCTGTTCTCAGCACATCCTGTTCTCATTGGCATGAAGTAATCAAGCCTTGCACTGATCCTGTTGATCCAGGATGAGAAATGAAACTGTACAGGGCACCTCGTGGCTTTAAAGTTAACAAAACCACATCTTGGACTAAACTCTTTCAGTCATTATTCTATTATTGTTATTAGCTTTTCCTTGTGATCCATCATTTGTTAGAAACACAGCTAAATTAATTGAATTCATCTCTAGTTGTGTTGCTGTAATACCGTTTCGTTCCAAATGTCTGATGTCTCATTACATGTCCATTCATACAGCAGTGGTTGTCTGTGTGTGGATCACATGCTCATAGCACAGTGTAACTTGGCACACAGATGACATCTCCTCTATCTTGCTTTCTTTCTTACATGCTAGCGTGCAACAGCCTAGAAAACCTTCAAAGCAATATAAGATGTAAACAACCTTCAAAATGACCTTCAAACAGTTTTAAAATCAAGCAAGTTTGTCTAGGTTTTCTAGTTGAGTTAATCTGAAATTAACATGCACATTTCTGGAGAATAATTACACAGCAGACAGGAGTAGTGTTTTGTGTTTCTATTTAAGACATTAAGCTGACTTAGATGTAATTGGATTATAATTAAACACACATGCAAGGAGACTCTGACATTTCTCGGATGATCTTTAGGCCCAAAGACACTGACAACTTCTACCACTGGAAAGCAAGAATACTTCATATACGAGATAATAGTGAGGTATTGAAGTATAATTAAATAAAAACTTTAATTTAAACAGTTCATTTAAAGTATTAAATCTGAATTTAAATCTGCATGGTCATTACATGTTTTTAATGTAATCTTTATGTACATTCTTCATCTAATGTTAAATACCAAGTGTTTATGTGTTGTAAAACCGATCATATTTGTATTTGACCATCTGATTGTTATTCGAATTGATGGTTTTGGTTGGTTTGTGATCACTTTTTTGTACAAAACTTTACTAAGAATGGCACAAATAGAATTTACAGAGAATGGCTTTGCAACAAGATGTGCACTTTTTTGTAAGTTGTCTGTATTTGTTGTCTTGAAGTTTGGGGTTTTGCTGACTAACATGAAGGGTTGCTGATGTCCCCTAGTGGTGCCTTTCTGTCCCTCACCAGCACTTGCCTTAAAGGGGTCATATGATGCTATTTTAAAGATCATTATTTGGTGTAACAGAATATGTTGACATGCTTTAATGTTCAAAAAACACATTATTTTTCAAATACTGTACATTA